GAGACGGTGCTCAGCGTTAACGCTTCTCGACGTTGTCGATTATAGTTCAACAAGTGTATCTGGTCAAGAAGAATCTCGTCATAAAAGGTTAGTATTTTTCGCCGATTTGAAGATATTGTAAAAATAGCGGTTGCCAAAGATTCGTTTTTATATTATTACTTTTGTTTTGTGCCACAGTCAAATTACATGCGCTCTAGTCTAGGGCTCTAGACCTGTAGTCGCCAGCTTCAATCGTTGTTGCTATACCAAAGTGGTGACTGTGGCGGCCCACTATTTCGAATACAAATTAAAGAATCATGTACCTTATAAAGTTTTTAGTGAAATTATAGCTTTGTAGTGCCACATGGGAAGACCATCTTGTTTATTTCATTATATAATTAGGTACCAATAAAGTTCAATGGAATGTTAGTGATTTTTGAAAATAACTGTATTCAATTTTAATAAAGGGAGGCATTCTGAATTTGCATTTTGCACTTGCCGACAGCAAAAGCAAATGGTCCAGTGGAATTGTATGAGATGATAACTTATCCATGATGAGGGGGTGCAAATTTAATTCACTTGATGCTGATGTCTCAATAAGTGCATAAAAGCATAATAGTGAAAGGGGACTTTTTGTGGCCTTCCTTTTTGAGTCCCATTAGTAGATGAGTATAAGCATCATGGATACTACTATTACCTAGCCTACTAGACTAGGCTAAGTAGACTTGGATGAGTTGTGACTCATGAAAAGTCCATGACAGTAGCCGTAGGTATTACTGCCTACCAAGATTTTTTGAAAATTGAGCACCAATCTGCTAAATCTGGAACATAGCAGCAATGCAGAGATTTTTTAGAATCAGTTCATTTTACAACACTTCTGTTTAACCAATATTATAAAATTGAGAAAATAATTTTGTCTTATCAATATTTAATGCACTTCTACCTGTCCAATCAACCTGAAGTTTTGCACACTGGCATATAATAGGAAACAATGCATGAATCAATTGAGAGAATACATAATTTTTGAAATTAATAATAAATTTTATATACAAAAAAATTGAAAATTAATTTTTTAATGTACGAAAATAAAATTAGAAATTCATTGTACATGTGTAACCAGTAGCCTAACGTCAAATACACAGGATTCTTTAGAAGTGTTGTCTTTAAAAAGTAATTTTTAAATGCATATTATTTAATTTCACTGTCTAATAAATAAATTAGGTACTGGTAATCCATTTCTTATGTATGACAATGCTGGTATCTAAGATACTATAGCTAGTCTACTTATAGGACTCAAAAATTAACTTGAAGAAGTGCAACAAAAAATGTCCTGCATTGCCACTTCAAATTAAGTTATTAAATTAATTTGAAGTCACCTCAAGGCTCAAATTAAATTTCCTCATTTATAGAAAATACATTCAATATCTTGTGTATGAAAATTCAGGTAGTAGTAGGATTTATAGTGTAAATTCTTAATAGGTAATATACTATTCCCATCTTGATATAAAAAATGGATTGGGAGGCCTACCATGTTTCACTTCCAACCACTATGCCAAGGTGTAAACTGAGCTGGTGAGAGGCTGCTGCAAGTCTGACGTTTTGCAATTTGCCAACTGCATGTGGATCTCTGTGCTGCCATTCTCGATTATCATCAGTTGTTTATCTATAAATGAACAATTTTTGCAATGAATATGTTATAAAATAAAATTACATGTAAATGCAAATAAATTTTAATTTCAATTCTTTATGTTCATGGTTACACACATCAATATCTTGTATTTTACTTATTTCAGTCAATCACTTCTCTTGTCATCCGCTGTTTTGGTTTCAACAAAATTGTTGAATACATTAATATATTCAGTCATATGCCAAGGTGATAAAATAGTAGGAATTGAAAAATGAAGTAAGGAAAATTAAAAATTTTTGCTAATACCATAAACCAGAATTTCTACATTTTGTGTATATTTAAGTGTGATTTTAAATGTATTGATCTAAATTTTATTTGTGAGCCCTAATTAGCATATGATAGTATTGGTGAGCATTGTATTATATATAACCCTATAAATTAGACAAAAATTGGCCATTTCCAGTGCAGAATTACAGAATTTGCTCTGATGTACCTAATTGTGTTAGTTTGATAGTCAATTTGCAAAGATGTGCAAGTTTTCATGTATGAATTCATTCATGACCAACTGTTTTCTCTAATACAGACATTTGCTTTAGTAACTGAATACATTTAAATTTCATTAAATATTCAAATGAATAGTCAATGATATTATTCCAGAGAATGTCTGAAGCAGATTGTGGGAGAGGCCATGTTTCATTATTGTGCAGCTTGTTCCAACATTAAAAATGTGTAAAATATTTAAGTTACTAGAGCAACTTGTTCTTTAAATATTTCAATATCAGAAATTGAATTTTGTTATGGTAAAAGTGCAGGATAAAAGTCATAATTTTTTATACAATTTCTAAAATTTTACTGAGGATCTTTTCAATTTAAATTCAATAAATATATTTTCCTACAAATATATCTTCCTATCAAATATATCAAATATAGGTATCTCAATAGATATATTTTCAACTTGGTGAATCATGGCCTAAATTTTTTGACCCGTTAAAATTTGAGATCTCTTGCACTGATCCCTCTCTGATCTTCGAGACTCAATTTATACTTGAAAAAAATTGAGTTTTATGCTATCTTAATTGATGTACTGGATATATATAGATAATTATGTGGACAATGGAGTGACATTTCTTTTTTGTTGCAGAAATGTCACATCTCAAACAGTGGAGAAGATATAGAACTGAAATAAATTCTTTAGCTTTACCAACCAACAATGAATCTGCTGCTATTGTTTGTGGCACTGTTGATAACATTGAAACTAAGGGTAATTTATCTCCTACTGTTACTAATAGAGACACTGTGACCAACACAGATACTACTGTTACCTTGGAAGATGACCTGGATAATAATGTAGATAATCTTCCAGCAACTGTATTAGAATTTGATGGTACTGAAATTCAAACCCACTCGCTGCTATCAGATTCTTCTATATTAGAAGATAGTTGTGATAGTGATGCACTTCCATGTGAAAATACAACTGATGAAGAAATTGTTCCTGATTTAACTTCACAACTGGCGGAATGGGCAGTTAAAAATAACCAAACTCGCTCATCCATCAACGAACTCTTGTTAATATTAAGGATGCATGGGCATAGTCTCCCTAAAGATGCTCGCACCTTATTACAGACTCCAAAAATTATTCAAATTAAAGAGAAGTGCAATGGTACCTATCAGTACTTTGGGCTGAAATCCGGTATTTCCAGAGTTATAGAACAACATGGTGACTTTTTCAGGAGAGTAGGAGTTGCCTCATTGAATTTCAATGTAGATGGAATGCCTCTCTTCAAGTCATCAAGTCTGCAATTATGGCCCATTTTGTGCAGTGTAGAAAATCATGAACCATTTATTGTGGGAATTTATTGTGGGAAACATAAGCCCAGTCCTGTGGCAGAATACCTCTCAGATTTTCTTTTGGAATTGAATGAATTGCTTGCATCTGGTCTGAATCATCAAGATGTGCAATTGAAAATTGTTCTTGGTGCTTTTATCTGTGATGCACCTGCAAGGGCTTTTTTGAAGTGCATAAAAGGACATAATGCATATTACAGTTGTGAACGGTGCATTGCCAAAGGGACATGGGCTGGACGTGTTGTGTTCAACTTGCCTGTCAGTGGTCTGTGTTCTTTGCGCACAGATGAAGAATTTTCCGGGATGAAATATGCAGATCACCAGATTTCTCCATCTCCTCTCATTGCTCTAGGTGTTAAGTGTATCACAGCCTTTCCTCTTGATTACATGCATAGTGTGTGTTTGGGAGCTGTGAGACGCATTCTTAATTTTTTCAAGAGTGGGCCAAGAGTATGTAAATTGTCTCAAAATCAAATTGGCATAATTTCAGAAAAAATGACAAGTTTAAATGGCAAAATGCCAAGAGAATTCGCTCGTCAACCTCGGTCTCTCGAATTTCTTGACCGCTGGAAGGCAACAGAGTTTAGACAGTTCCTCCTTTACACAGGTCCTCTTGTGCTCCTTGATGTTGTTGGAGAGGAAGTGTACAATCATTTCGTGTCTCTTACAGTTGCCTTGTCAATACTTTTAGACTCCAACGATTTAAGGCGAAATGCTTATCTTTCTTATGCACGTGAACTCTTAATTCACTTTGTTTGTTCTTCAACTAACATCTACGGTGAAACTTTTGTCACATACAACATTCATTCATTGATCCACTTAGCAGATGATGCATCAAACTATGAAATGAGTTTGAACAGATTGAGTGCATTTCCATTTGAAAATTATTTACAGAAATTGAAAAAGCTTGTGAAGAACGGTAAAAATCCTGTTTCACAAATCGCCAAGCGGCTACATGAACTAAATTGCTGTAAATCAGGAACTTCACCAAATACGCGCATGTTTGTGTCGGCATCAAGGAAAGATGGTGTGTTTTTATTGAAAAATAATTTATTTGCATTTGTCAATGAGAAGAAAAATGCTGGTTCTTTCTTGTGTACAGTAATTAGCCAAAGACAGGTCCAAAACTTCTTCACCCATCCTTGTGACTCCATGCTCCTGAACATTGGATTTTTGAGTGAAGAATCTATCTCTCGCTTTGGAAAAAGTTGTTCAATAAGTATTGAAGATATTGAACGCAAAGTAATCTGCCTACCATTTGGTGCTGGCCAACTTCTTTTGCTTCCCCTTCTCCACGAAACTGAAAGACACCTTTAGATGAATGGTGAATTTGGTATTTTTGTTTTTGTTTTACAAAATATAATCTAGATTTACATGAGAATTCTGGAAATTTCAAGCCAGCATAACATTATTAATCTACAATTAGCATTCAATTTCAGGAGAGGATGCCCAACGTGTGGTCACGAGCGGTTTGGTTGGAGGGGACCAAAGAAACGGAAGGGACCATACCAACTGCTTGGATTGAGGGACGTTCCGTCAGGTGGCCCAACAAAGGCAATGCAGCAGCATTGCTCCGTGAGAAGCATGTACCGTGCAGCAGTTGGCTATCATTTGACTTGATCAAAGTGAAATGCACCTCTGGTAAGAAATAGTGAAAACGCAAGAATTTTTGTAACTATCAAATTCTGCGGTAGAGTAAATACAAATTTACTGAGCATACCTTAAAGTTGCACCTCTATCTTAATTTCTGTATTTGCATAAACTAGGATCTCTGTGATATAAAATTTACACTCTATATTACCAAAGCAGGGTACATTTTACGCTTCAATGCCCCACTTGCCAGCTGTTCAGCTATAACAATTAATAGGTATATTTTTTAGATAACTGGAGAGAGATGGTTATGGGCCTTCACTTACCAGGCCTGGAAAGTCATTGGATTTCATTTCAGGTCATGGAAATCATGGAATAAAAGGCGTTTTGATTTCCCTTAATAATGTTGATGTTGGTTACACTTACATGGGGGAGTGCAGCCGAGCATCACCAATTTTGTGCACCAATAAGCCCTGAATCTAACGCCTTGGATATCTCTGGACATCCACCAATCAGCAGTGAATGGAACCTGCTATCCGTAGCCGACCCTTGATATCATTCTGCTTTGAATATTTTGATCTCTACAATTCTTTCTAATAGTATCAAAATAATCATATCTCGCCCTTATCATTATGATCAACAACTCTATCGATAGAAACCATGTAATTTTTCTTTCAGCATGTGGCACAGTGAGCAGAACGATTCAAAGCAGAACAAGTTCTATGCTAATGCCCATCCTTGACCCATTATTGACGTCTCAAATAAGATATCCTTTTACAAAAAATTGTTGAAACCAACTTTTTTAACTTATTTGTGAAGAAAAACTTAACTTATTCTTAACTTATGTCTTCGTTGATAACAGAGAGTCAGCGTACTTGTGAGCAACACGACGAAACGACTGCAGCCGAAAGTGAGGAGGAACCGGAGCCTGCCTACGCCCCGGTTAAGAAGAATACGTCGTTAACAACATATCAGCATGGTCTTGTATAATTCTACTCCACGTCTAAATAAGCTCTAATTCATTTATTCACCCTTAGATTTCATTCAAATATTGTCCTAAATTTGGTGACTCGTTGACTTATCTCCGGTATATTTGAAGCATTTTTTGTTACTGTAGGTATCATATGTTTAAAAAATTAGCATAAGTGTTAATGCTGTCGTAGATGAAATTTATGTTCATTCACGCTCACATTTTATTCGCTGCTAATTCGATAAAGGCTTTTTCATAATCTTCGTTCAAAATAAGCTACAGAAATGTGTTCTGGGTCTCTTTACAGGTGTTTTGGAAATGTAAACCTAAATTTGATTTACATTTCCAAATTTAATTTTATTGCAGAAGTTAGTGACAGCGATGAGTCTGGACTGCTGAAGCAGGCCGCTTCTTGTAAGTGCAGTTCATACCAGGTCAAACTTAAANAAACTTCATCAACAAATGATTATAATACATAACAATTATAAATATATTTATGTAATGTTAACGGGCTCTTACAGTTGTCCCAACAACGTTATGTTTCAAGTAATTATGCTTTAGGCCACTGACTGCCTTATAACCTTGTGACCTTTAGATGAGTTTAGGACGTATACAATCAACAGTTCCGTTGAACGACTATGGCACGTACGTGAAATTTTTTCTAATCTAACTCTTGGTGCAAGTAATATTCTTATGTTTTCAGAACCATGAGCAATGCCCTAATGTCGAAGATGAGTTTGAAGGGGAAGAAAAACAAAATTGCATTCAACGGAACTCGCATGTGTGCAGCCATTAAAGGTATCTATAAAAGGACTTATGTCACTGTTAATTTGTGTATTTATGTATAGATGAATTACTCATGTCGTCTTAAGTGATTACGGCAAACTTTTTAAGGTTATCGAAATTTTGTTTCTAAAAAATAAATAAAATTAGTTTACTCTACATTCAGCGCTCTAAGTCATTAAGTAAAGTAAGCATTGCATACGTATATCATGAAGTATGAATTGCGTATTCATACATATATTCACATTTGCATATATTCATGTATGTTAACATTCACTTGTTTCGAGGTTCATCTCATGTATGTTCTACATAAACTTCTTAATGAATGACCCTGCAAATGAGTCTATAGGGGCGATGGGAGTGAATCCGTGTCAGCTATACACTGTTTGAGGCCGGCAGTCTAAAGACATGGTACGGCCATTAAATATATGTATAGCCAATAGCCTGTAATTCAAGATGCAATATTAACAATTCTGTATTCCTCATCGCAGTTCCATTACACCCTTAATTTGGTATATGAGATCAAGCATGTAACACGTACCTATAGCTTTAACATGTCACTTGAACCTGGCTACATGGCAATCCAGTAAGTCACTCATACCCATAGCTAAATATTGCTCTAATATGTCATTCATAACAATAGTTACGGGTGTAATATATCATTCATAACTAAAGTTATAGTTATAGCAAGTAACCAACATTCCTAGTTATAGCTCTGGCCTGTAATAACTTGCTATATAATTCTATCATCTCACTAACTACATAGGTATAGGTATTATTTGTCATATACATACCTTTTCATAGCTCTAGCATGTCGCCATTATGTTTATAGCTTCATATTTCTCACACGTCACGCATACTTTTAGCTATAGCTTCAAAATGCAATTTGTACATAGTTGAAGCTCTAGCAGGTTACTATATCATATATATAGCTATATAGATATTTTTTATGAAAAGGTTAGAGGTAATTGTGTATAGGTGTTCTTGATCAGCTTATGATAATGCTTACTTTTTTCCAAAATCACATGAATTGTTTCCTAAATTACGGCTCCTTTTCAGTATCCAAAATATTTACTCTTTCCAGAAGTCGTCATGGCAACTTTTCGCGAAGCGACTGAGCTCAAGCTGAACCAAGAATTCTCCAAGTATCTCAGGTATGCCCCTGAACGCCTTGGTGGCGGGGGGCGAGGTCAAGCTCAACGTTGACGGTATCCAGGTGTCTCTGGTATGCCCTTGAGCGCCTTGGTGACAGGAGGCAAACCTCTAAAAAATTAAAATTCTCCGTATTTTGTGTGTTTTTTTGCCAAGTATTAAGGGGTAGTTGTAATAGTGAATTAATTAATTTATGCTCAGCTTAATTTCACGTTACATTGATTTAGGAGTCCAATGGTTGGATCGACCAGTTACGACGGTGAGATCGTGTTTCAAAGAGGTTTAGAAAGAAAATTAAAGAAACGTCATTCACTAAACGTCGTACTGACGTTACAATGCAACGTTTAGTCAATATTTCTAATACGACGTTGCTGCAACGTTGAATTTTTTGGTTGAATTGACGTTGAAACACCTACTAATTACGACGTTGAGATCGGGGTGAAAAGACGTTTAGAATGAAAATGTAAGTAACGTCATTCTCTAAACGTCGTACAGACGTTACAATGCAACATTTTATCATTGTTGCTTCTACGACGTCGCTACAACGTCAAATTTTCTGGTTGAATCGACGTTGAAACAACTACACATTACGACGTTGAGATCGGGGTGAAAAGAGGTTTAGAATGAAAATTGAAGCAACATCTTTCACGCGACGTCGTACTGACGTTACAATGCGACATTGAATCAATGTTGCTACTACGACGTTACTGCAACGTTGAATTTTTTGGTTGAATTGACGTCGAAACGACTACACATTACGACGTTGAGATCGGGGTGAAAAGAGGTTTAGAATGAAAATTGAAGCAACGTCATTCTCTAAACGTCGTACGGACGTTTCAATGTAACGTTTTATCAATGTTGCTTCTGCGACGTCGCTACAACGTCGTAGTAACAACATTGATTCAATGTTGCATTTTAACGTCAGTACGACGTCGCGTGAAAGATGTTGCTTCAATTTTCATTCCAAACCTCTTTTCACCCCGATCTCAATGTCGTAGCAGGTAGTTGATTCAACGTCGATTCAACCAACGAATGCCTGCTGGGGTTAAACTTAGAGGAATAAGTGAGCTTTTGTCCAAATAGCTATTTTTGCCTTTGTATGGCTCATCTTGACTCAGTTTTGCCCGGCAAAGATGCGTATCAGTGATACGTCCGCTCTTTGCTCGTGGTGTGGGTAAGAAAGAAAGTTCGTCAGGAAATTTAATTGAACCATTTATTGTTTTGAGTGTAGCCGCAGCGCAGTCACTCCTGAGGTCCCAGGCATAAGGATTATTAAGTATTTAATCTCGCTCAAAATATAATCAAAATCTCTTAGAATAAGATAAATAAATTTCGTGCAAATAGAATCAATGGCATCAAAATTCACAGTATTTAATATGTTATATTATTCATAACTCCAAAAATAGTGCTAATAAATGTTGCCATGACGAACCTATTAAGTTTTGGGCGCATGATTTGTTAATACACGGGAGTTCTTTTTTTTCGCTAAGTTCAAAGTATACCTTAACTAAATCATGTCTAACTGACTAAATAATGAATGTACTGCTGAGAACTACTGGCCCATTACGACCATTACTAGTGAAATAATAAAACCTAATTATTTATATTACACAACTACAACAACACATAACATAATATCTTAATGCAGTAATAGTAGATAATAATAATAATTAATAATGTAATAATAGCGGACATGTAAATTTCCTACTAAAACCTGTACGCCACGAAAGAATCCTTTTATATATTTACCTATTATAATTTTGATCTTCAACATTATTGTTGTGAAGGCCTTGTATAGTGTATGAGACGATCTTCTTGGTAGCATTTGAAACGCTTCAAATGCCCTTGGCGTTTAATTTTCTTTCGCTTTCTCATCGCAGGCCTCGAATATTTTTCCAAATTCACAGAAAAATGTTCTTAATTGAAGTAATTAGAGTTAATCGGTTATAAATTAGTCCTTTAATTCACAACGTTGAGCTAACATTAGTTAACTCGCGCAATTAATGCTTATATCATGGAATTATCCAATGATTTTAATTAATTTCCTGTCATTACAGATCTTGAATAAAGTTCAAATCATTGTGATCTTTCTCATCCTCTGCCGATGATTTGGACTATGTTACGGTCCTCCATCATTCCCACCTTCAATCGATGATTTGGACTCTATTACTGCCCTCTATCATCCATCAAAATAACGACCTACAGACGCACTGAACCTCGAACCTAAGCCCTATTCAAATGCATAAAGTTTTTGTTAATTATGAGCCCATTTGAGCCCATGCCTCATAAGCCTTTGTGCGACGTGTCGACCTGTGCGCTGAGTGAGATACTTGCTGTACAAGTGCTCAAGTGTTCCATGTGTTCAGTTGTTCTATGTGCCCAAGTGTTCCATGTGTTCAGTTGTTCCAAGTGCCCGAGTGTTCCATCTGTTCAGTTGTTCCAAGTGCCCAAGTGTTCCATGTGTTCAGTTGTTCTATGAGTTCAAGTGTTTTATCTGTTCAGTTGTTCTATGTGCTCAAGTGTTCCATGTGTTCAGTTGTTCTATGTGCCCAAGTGTTCCATGTGTTCAGTTGTTCTATGTGTTCAAGTGTTCCATCTGTTCGCTTGTTCTATGTGTTCAAGTGTTGCATCTGTTCAGTTGTTCCAGGTTCCCAAGTGTTCCATCTGTTGAGTTGTTCTATGTTTTCAAGTGTTCCATGTGTTCAGTTGTTCTATGTGCCCAAGTGTTCCATCTGTTCAGTTGTTCTATGTGCCCAAGTGTTCCATCTGTTCAGTTGTTCTATGTGCCCAAGCTGTCTCTTATACACATCTANAGGTGCAGGTGCGTGTAGGTAGGTGCAGGTGCGTGTAGGTAGGTGCAGGTGCGTGTAGGTAGGTGCAGGTGCGTGTAGGTAGGTGTAGGTGCGTGTAGGTAGGTGCAGGTGCGTGTAGGTAGGTGCAGGTGCGGGTAGGTAGATGCAGGTGCGTATCTCACACTTTGCTGTTGAACGTACGCCACTGCGATGGCTCCTTTAGAGAAGTTTCTTCATTCAATTCATTGATACTCTTGCATATTGTAAGGTTCTTAATTGCGAATAACACAAATACAATTAATTAAAGTGATTCCAAGCATGTCGGTAGACAAAACTTAAAGCTTTTGTATCTAAGATTTGGTCTTCTTCAGTTCTGACACGGAAAAATTAATCGAAAGTTGAAATGATTGTCATGAAATATTTTTCATCTAAATTATATTTATATCGTAGGAATCAATCGCTGCTGAAGGAAAAATCAGCCAGTATATGAGACTAACCTCCTTATTGCAAAGCCCATTACTAGGGTTAGCTAATAAATCGTTAACTCCACCGACAGCTAAAAACTGACAAGTGTTGTTTGCTGTCCATTTCAGCGCAGGTTATTTATACCAACATTTTGGTCTTGGTTTGAATAGCGCGAAGAGGATCGACCAGCATCGGCATTTGCTTATTGAAGGACCGCTGCTT